ATAATTTTAATTAATTTTTTAAATTTCGTTACTTACAAATATTTTAATATTGGGCATAAGTTTTCGCGCATCGCGCGTACAAAATGCTAGTGTGTTAAATATATACAGTAAATTAGGTGTGTCATTTCATTTATGCTTAATGCGTGATTTTAATTAATTCACGAAAGTCCATGTTAAATTTTATATTGTATTTTTTAAATACACTAATATATTAATAATATATGCTTAATAATTATGTCAATTTTAATTGGAATGGGTTCGAACCTAAGACCTTCCTCACGAAAATCAAAGTTAGTTCAGAATAATAAATAGTTAACAGAATATTTGGTTATTAAAGTTTACCCTGACGGAATGCAGGAGTATTTAAGAAAAGTAAATAATATAATAGAGAGAAAAAGTATGAAAAATCAAATAATAAAAAAAAACTAAAATTAAAATAATATGATCCCATACATTTCAATAAATAATAATATAATTTATATTATATTATAATAGGAATAAGGTTCAAATTGGTCACTGAACGTAATCTGAAAATGCAATTTGATCATTGGACAAAAAAAAATGCAATTAGGTCACTGAACACTCTAAATGTGTGCAATTTCACCGGATAGCAGGTTACCATCAATTTTAGCAGGTTACCTGCTTACGTGGCAGTTGAGTTGGTATTTTTTTAAAATAAATTTTAATAATAAATTTTAAAAAGTATTTTTATATTAAAAATAAAAAAAAAAAAACGACGGGGTGGCCGGTATCCACCCGTCGTTTTATTTATTTTTTATTTTTTATTTAATTTTTCTTCAATTTTTTAAAAAAATTTATATTAAAACTTATTAAAAATTATTTAAAATGCCAACCCAACTACCACGTAAGCATGTAACCTGCTAAAATTGATGGTAACCTGCTATCCGGTGAAATTGCATACATTTGGAGTGTTCAGTGGCCTAATTGCACATTTTTTTCGTTGGATGGCCTAATTGCATTTTCAAGTTACGTTCAGTGACCAATTTGAACCTTATTCCTATTATAATAATATATTTTTGTGTGTATTGCACAGGTAAAACAATAGTAATTACAAATAACGTGCCCAGGATGCACCAACACAATTCGTAGTCAAAATATAATGGACCTAATGACCTTTGGTAGGTATGTAGAACGTGAAATACTTGAAAATCAAAGTAGACATTTTCGCAAATCAATCAGTTTAATAGTTTGTTTTCCTATTGATATAGTGTTATGGCATCCCAATCTTTATGCATGAGTTCCCGAATAGCCATTCACAAAATGAACAAATGGGTCCTTATAGTTGTTCTCTTAATTTAGTTTAGCTAATAATTGGAAGATCATTTTTGGTATTAACTCGAAAATAAATGTTAGTCATTGATATGGCATATCAAACGGTTGGAAAAAAAAAAAAAAGAAAAAGAATAATGAAAGAAATAATAGTTAATTTCATAAATATTTGATTTGCATTGATTGAATTGTCCAGATTAGGATTTAATGCTCACAAAATGGTGAGCAGACGAAATGGGGGGAGTTTTGTAGTATGTTGCAGTGGGTTGGTATGCATTTGAAGTGTGAATAATAAATGTTAGTCATTGGTATGATATATCTAACGGTTTGAAAATAAATGTTAGTCATTGATATGGTATATCTAATGGTTAGAAAATAATTTAAAAAATAATAGTTAATTTTATATAAATAAAAATAATAATGGTGCACACGGTTGCACAGCATAACGCTCCGCTAGAATGTAGGGTGTTTCAAGATGCATACAAAGATTGAGAAAATTATTGTACTCAGACCGGTCCTGAGCAAGGGCAGGGTGGGTCCTTATCCAAGCCCATGCTTGAAATGGGCCCCATCACCCTAGGAATGTTATGCTGTGAACAGCGCCCATCTTGTAAGGTGGGCACGATTTCATATCCATAATTTCTATACTGTAGATTCATAATTTATACTACGTATATTGTAAATCCATAATTTCTATACTGTAGATTCATAATTTCTAAACCATAGATTCATAATTTAAATATAGTTGATTTATAATTTCTATACTGCAGATTCATAATATCTGTACTGTAGATTCATAATTTCTGTACTGTAAATTCATATTTTCTAAACTATATAGTTATCAATTATGAACATATAGTTATCTGATTTGTGAAAATGGAGTTCAACAATTGGAATCTAAGGTATAAATTTTATGAATTTACAATATAAAAATTATGAATCTACAGTATAAAAATTATGAATTTACAATATAAAAATTATGGATATTGAATCGTATCCACCTTGCAAGGTGGGCAAGTGCTCACAACATAATTTGCCAACACCCTATCCTATTATTTTTGTATATTTTGTATGCTCATCATTTTGTGAGCATTAAATCCTAATCTGGACAATTCAATCATTGCAAAGCAAATATTTATGAAATTTTTATCATTATTTTTTTCCTTATTTTCTAACCGTTAGATATACTAACATATATTTACTAACCATTAGATATACCAAACTGATGACTAATACGGAATATTTATTAATCACACTTTAAATGCATACTAACCCACTACAACATGCTACAACACTCCACCCATTTCCAGAGCTCAATACCCAAATCTCTGAGAACCAGAAAGCACAGAAAGATCAAAGATGGGTTCATCATCAATGGAAGAAATGGTAAAAATTCCAAGTGAAGAAGAAGAGGGGTTCTTGAGAGCCATGGGGCTATCGAGTGGGATAGCAGTGATGATGGTTTCAAAAGCTGCCATTGAACTCGGACTGTTTGAGATCATTGCAAAGGGTGGTGAAGGAGCAAAGCTTTCTGCTAAAGAAATTGCAGACTGTCTTCACACACAGAACCCTAATGCACCAGTCATGCTGGACAGGATGCTTAAGTTTCTTGCTAACCAGTCCATTCTCAGGTGCACACTCACAGAGGATAATCACTGTTCATACAGTTTAACACCAATCAGCAAGAACTTTGTCCCTAATGAAGATGGGGTGTCCCTTTCTGCCTTGGTACAATTGACCACTGACAAAGTGTTTGTTAATTCCTGGTATGAACTACTCTCCTGATCTTCCTTTTGTTGTTTGAGATTTTGTGAACTATGGAGTAGTTTTTTCACGTTTTTTTAGGTGACGAGGGAAACCCCAACCACTACCCAAGAGTGTGTATTGGGTAAACTCGCTTTGGCATTTGTGGTCCTAGCTGGCAAAGGACCACAAGAAGATAAACCAACATAGGTTGCTCATAGTAAACCGGCTCAAACCAAGAAACCCAATATGTCGCTCCCGCCGAGGGTCAAACTTGTAAACTTGTAGTTACCAAGTCAACAACCTAACCAATTTGGCAGGGATTGCCCTAATTTTTTTCACTTTTGGTCTTTGACTTTTATGGCATTTTTCATAGTTCCCAACTACTTTTTTTTTTCTTCCCGCTATTTAGACTATTTTCAATCTTCCAATACATAAGATTGCAATCTCGCATAGGGTCAGGTTTATCCAATTCACACCCTCAAATAGTGACAACGAATTTCACTCGTCACCCCCAAAAAAAAAAAAACTATTTTAGGAATAATAAGCCGAAAACTTCATATAATTAGACTAGGCAACTATTTTACAAATTATTTGGCAGGTAGCATTAGTCATTAAATTATTAAACTAGAAAGCTACACTTACTAGGAAAGGTATTTATATCTCAAGTGGGAACAGGGTGGAGCATCATCCTTAATCTATACCCATAGCTTTTGTCAAAGGCTGGCTTATCTAAAAAAATTAAATATCTTGAAACCTAAAAATAACATTTTTCCTTTTTGAAATCAAATTCAGCTGATAATTAAATTTTATTTTGAAAATCTAAAATTTTTGAATGAACCAAATAATAATTCATATACGTACAATTCTGGCGAAACTATTTTGGTATATCAAAATAATCATATATAACTTGAACCAAACAAAGTTATATATTTATATAACATTATCATGCTCGCGTTACCTAGGTAATGTTACATAACTTGAAATAAATGCATGTTACATAACTTGAAATAAATGCACCCTAAAGGTATATGTGCGAATGTGCCTAGGATTGGAGGATTGAATCTACTATACCTCTATAATTCAAAGACTAAAAATATCATTTTTCTAGCATAGAATCTTCTTGCCAATGGTTCTTGTTTTACTCATTTAACATACACAAGTGAGTTTGTGTGAAGGCATGCATTAAAAGATACAGTACTGGAGGGAGGAGTCCCATTCAATAGGACCCATGGAATGCATGCATTTGAATACCCTGGCAAAGACAGTAGATTCAATGAGGTATTCAACAGAGCAATGCATGAGCATAGTGCAATTGCGATGAAGGGAGTAGTGGAATGCTACAAAGGTTTTGAGGGAGTCAAAGAAGTGGTAGATGTGGGTGGTGGATTTGGTTCAACACTGTCATGCATTATCTCCAAGTACCCTAACATCAAGGGCATCAACTTTGATTTGCCACATGTCATCCAAGAGGCTCCTGCTATTCCAGGTGTGTACCCTAAAACTTGAATTGTTCATATTTGTAACATATTCCAAATTGCTTATTAGTACTACAGGGTTTCTGCATATACTTATCATTAGGGATAGTCATAGGGCAGGGAATATGCACTCTAGTCTTTGGCCCCACATTTGAGGGATATATTTTCTACATCCCTACATCTAGGGGATAGGACGCCTATAGGTTGGAGATTCCCCATCCCTGCAAAGGTTCACTAGGGATGGGATTTCATGTTCCCAATATGTTATATTATATGTAATTAAAAAGGTAAAACATTAAACATGTAACAAAATTTAAATTGAACAATTTAAGAGTTAAAATACCAAATTTTAACAAGTTCAACATACTAACACAAAGAAATGCCTTACTTATTGTTAGGTGTGGAGCATATTCCAGGAGATATGTTTGAGAGTGTTCCCTGTGGAGAGATTATATTCATGAAGGTTAGTGCTCATTGCTCAGTAAAATATACTAGTGTAAAGACCACTTGCTAAAGAAGAAAATGATGGTATCATTGTTATACACAAGATCTAAGCAAATTGCTCTGAAAATTGCAGTGGATACTACAAGATTGGGATGATGAACATTGCCTGAAGCTGCTGAAGAACTGTTGGAAAGCTTTGCCAGAATCTGGTAAGGTGGTGTTAGTAGAAGGTATACTGCCGGAACATCCTGAGAAAGATGTCGCGTATGGTTGTGTATTTTATGCTGACATACTCATGATGACGATGAATCCTGGAGGGAAGGAGAGAACACAGAGACAATTAGAAGCCCTGGCAAAAGAGGCAGGATTTGCTGCTCTGAAAGCCATATGCACTGTGAAAACTGATTGGGTTATTGAATTGTACAAGTAGCTAAGATGTTTGCATAAAAGACTTTCAGACAAAGGAAAATTGTTATTGTTCCTCCTAATAAATTCCAAACAGTTGCAATAAAAGTTCAATTACATAAATAATTTTTATGTTGTTCATCTCTTGGTTCATATTGATGTTGATAGAATACAGCATCAAAAAACAACTTGCGTGCAATTTAGCAGATTGTATTAAATTACTCTGTACAAATAATCTAGATTTTGCATGTTAGGCAAAATATTATTCCTAAATATGGATTACAGGATGTGATTCAGCATTATGAATATATGATAATGAATCAATACACAATAGAAAATTACCTTAATCTAAGGTGCTGAGAGAGGGATGGGCTTCACAGCACTTGTGATTCGCCTAAATGCTGTTTTAACTCGTTCCTTGAGGCCATCGTTTTCACTTTCAACATCACCAGTCTGTTTGTCAAGTTCCGCTATGTTCCCATCAACATTTATAACGATTTTGCCATTTTCCCCAAGTTTTACATCACCAAACAAAGAGACCAACAGTGTGTGAATAATTTTCTCAGTTTTCTTTGCATCTTCCTCCTCATTTGCTACAGGTTCTGATTCCACAACCAACTTAGGCATTTCTCTGTTTGCATTTAAAACCAATGCTACAACAGAGTCTGAGACCATATCACTAATAGGATCTGCTGCCCAATGCACAGAAAGGTGATTCTCTGACTCCTGTTTAACAAGAACTCTATCATGAACCCGTAGTGTTGGAACACCAGAATCCTCATCTGTTGAAGACTCGACACTCTCATAAACTTGCCTGATCCGGTGTCTAATCACAGCAAAGGCACCTGAATATGGGATAGTAATTCTCTGAGTCACATTTGCAGTTGAAAGCTGTGAGAAGATGTGGAGATCTTCAGGTGCCAGGATCTGGTATGTGAAGCCTTTTTTCACAAGTAAACCACTGACAGTTTCACCAACTTCGGGGGTCTTTTCTGCCAGTTTTCCAATAGTTTTTGCCATTTTCTCAGAGCTGAAGTACATTTCCACAGATTGGCAGTTCTTAGGAGTAATAATTTTGGTGTTCTGATCAGCAAATAGGGTGGTAAGCTTCTGCTTGAGCCTCCCCATCTCATTAGCTTCTCCATGAACCAGAATTATGTTAGGCGGCATTAGCTCTTTCAAGAATGTACTTGTCTGAGCATAGTCTGCATGAGCTGAGAATGAAATATAATGAACCTGCATGTGCAGAGGAGCAGTCAAGCCATTTGTAAGTGTAACCTCTTTTGGTTCATTGATAATTGTCTTCGCAAGTGTCCCTTCAATCACATATCCAGGAATAACACAGGCATTTCTCTTATCAGAGCACCATTTGTCAAACAGCTGCCTTGACAACCCACTCTGAAGACTACCTGGACTTGCCATCACCACACATGGTCCTGTATCCTGAAAATTCTCAATACTGTTCAGAGGAGAGATGTGTTTGAAATCGAAGGGGTTTGAGCTGACAAACTGATTGCGGATCCTCTCATTCATGGAATTTATATAGGTTTGATAAACAGCCATACATCTTTTTGCAAGTGGTGAAGCATAATATATGGGGATCTTATGGAACTCTGGATGGCTTGACCAATACTCATCCAGTATAAGGAGAAGTTCTTGTGCACGACCCAGCGCAAAAGCAGGGATTAGAACACGACCACCTTGAGCAATAGTGTTGTGTATGACTTCAGTAAAGCGCTTCTCTCGTATGTGTCGGGGTTGATGTTGTTGAACACCATATGTTGATTCGATAATGCAAATGTCTGGAGAAAACTGTGGGAGCTCTGCAGCACGAAGATGTCGGTCTTCTTCACGAGAATAGTCTCCAGTGTAAAGAACTCGAACACCGGCAATGCTGACCATAAACATGGCAGCACCAAGAACATGACCAGCAGTATAGCACCAGAAGCGGATACCATTAACTTCCATTGTCTGATGGAAGTCAATAACCTGCAGAACATGGATTTCACACATATCAGGTGTAAAGCAAGGACAACTAAACTGCATATGCATTTTCATAAAAGTGTTCGAGATAGCCTTATTGAGCACTGGGAAAAAGGATACACCACAGTTGCAATACAAAATTTATGAACCACCAGCAGAAGTAGTAACTAAACCAATACTATGTTATGTTCTCCCGTCACGGGCAAGAAAACATAAGGAAAAATGAATAGAGAATAGTAGTTGGAAAAGAAAAAGAAGAAAACACTGGGTTTGCTTGAGACCCAAAACTCCCTTAGACCCTTTTTGGGATTAAATTTCTGCTTCCATTATTCTGAATAATACTCCCTTTTTATAGGGTAAAATACAACTCATAGAATGGCTAAATAAGCAAAGTATTCTGCTGAAATCTTCCAATTTACTTCTAAATAATTAAACTACCTAAATTAATTCGAAGACTAAGAATAATAAGTTAAATAACTATTTAGTAATTTCTAAATAACTATTCATTAGTTTGTAAATAACTATTTAGTCATTAATATCTAAACTATGTGATATAAGAAAATAAGACTTCCTAAAAATCATGGTCCAAAGCATGTATCATACTATGCAAATATAGCTAACTTATTTTAACTGATAATATTTTTAAAGAACATTATTTATTGCCCAAGAGTAAGTAATAAGTAGGGTGAAGATAAAGCATTCAGTGCTGGAAAGCCTGGAATACATACCTCAATTTTTTCCATGGATTTATTGATGTCTTTTTCATCAAATAGCATATCTTCAACAGAGACCTTGCTTACTTTAACAAAATCCGATAATAACAATTTATAAATCGCCTTTGTTGCATGGGTCATGAAAACTCGTCCTTTGAATGTGGTCTGATAAACAAAAGCTGGTATTAGATTATTAGTGGAGATAAATAACTGGTAAATTGTTATATTAAAAATCAACCAACAAACCTTTTCTAGAAAATATGGGAGGGAAGCAGCATGATCCAAGTGAAAACTGCAGCGAGGATAAATTCGAGCATACAGGGTTAAACTAACAACCCATGCAAAAATAAATGATCATTCCTAAAATCAGGAACCACCACTAGAAACATCAAAATACATGGTCAACTAGGGTGCAAGGTAAGATTTGAGGCATTTGATGTCATTAAATCAAGTCCAAGAATTGAAAGAAGTAGAAAATTGATTACATTATGAGAAAGATTTCTTCAATTCTTCTTTACACAAGAAAAAATAAGACTTCTAGCATATAAAGTTTCAGACATAGATCAACCAGAATACCATTGTACTTCATTTAATTCTGTTCTTGAGACATTAAAATGGGGCTTGATATATTGAGAATAATATTGCATGTTAACTCTGAAAAATATCCCTTAAAGAAAAAGATATACTAAATAAACTACTCCCCTCCCAAATCCAACATCCTTACAATTTGATAAAAGAAATAACAAAGAAACCATAAATCACAAAATTTAAGCAAACACTAAACCACTAGATGCTACTAAACAATATCACTAAAACATAGTGCAACAACAAATCAATGATAATACTGGCATGCCATGTAAAAGATAGAATAGAAAATGTACTGGGTAATTAGAAGAACATCAATAGTTGAAGGATCAATTTCATCAAAGTATGGCAAAGCAGCCATGCCAGAGTAAGCTGGATGAATCCCACAATCAAACTGCCAAAAAGCACAGAAGATTTACAAATGAGCAGCAGAATCAAAAGATTAACCAGTTGTCAGAGGAATAAAAAGAGAACACTGTGCTTTACCAAAACTGTTTTCCCTTTGTAAGACATGTAAACACACGACCGCCCCACTTCGCTTCCAGCCCCTAAAGGAGTAATGATCAGCCGATCTGCTTCTCTTGTTATTGCTGAATTAGGTCTCTTTGACATTGATTGTGGCTGTCCAGTAGATGCCATTTCTCCACGTCCTCAAAAACCACAGTAATTATGATGAGTTTTTCCTGTCCCAAAAAACAAAAAATTATACTAACCCTAATCCCCTCATAAACACAAACAGAGAGCTAATCTGCTGAATCCAGAACACTTCTGTTACGCATTGTGACTAAGGAAATGTTGGGATTGCAGGATTACAGCACGGCCCCGCCCCGTTTTGATTACAGCACGACAATGGCATCCCTTCCCCCCAAAGAAAAACGGCAGTGATGATTTACCTTTGGACGAAATCGTAAGGATATCGAGCTGGAACCTCTCCCCGATTCGGTGATGGAAGGAGCTTACTTACAGCGCGCGATAAGCTTGGAGAGAGAGAGAGAGACAGGGAGTGAGAGTAGAAACCCTAGCCTTGAAATGTTTCCCGCTGGTTGTTAGTTTTGGTCTTGATAATTAGTTTGAAGGAACCCATGTAATAAATAAATAAAGAGTAAATACCAGCGGAGGTCTTCTGACTTTGGTGGTATTACCACTTTTAGTCATCAACTTTAAAATCAATCACTCTTAGTCCTCTTACTTTTTTTTTCTAGCCATCTATGGTCCTTCCGTTAAACTTGACCATCTAATGCTGCTTTCTCAAGGATAATTCAGTCCTTTCATAATTAATTTATTAATTATTATGTTTGCCGAGTCATACCGAGATATCCCGACATCGTTTGCCGATTCATACCGAGATATCCCGACATCGTTTTGGCACAACCTTCGTACCAGTTTTTGTACACTATTTTGCTTCACGAGTTGGTTTTTTTGTACACGTTCATAGTTGGGAAACCATTATTTGACTATTCTGATGAGGAAATTAAACATAATAATTAATAAATTAATTATGAAATCACTGAATTATCGTTTAGAAAACGGCATTAGATGGTCAAGTTTAACGAAAGGATCATAGATGTTTAGAAACAAAAAATAATGGGGACTAAAAGTGACAGTGCCACCAAAGTCGGAGGACCTCCGCTGGTATTTACTCAATAAATAAACATATAAAAAATCTAAAATTTATATGTATGAATTCAAGTTATATGCCCATGACTTGTCGAGTGGCATAAATGACTATCTCAAATGGGAGGTAATAGTTTGAGCCTTAATGGGGTGGTATTAATTTTTTGTGTTTCAGTAGATTGAAAAAGTATATTAATTTTTTTTTTTTTCAATAGCAGAGATTATGCTCAAAGTAGACAGATCCCATGGGCGTACTGGCCGGTTGAGAAAGTATATTAATTTTTTTTTTTTTCAGTAGCCGAGATTATGCTCAAAATAGACAAATCCCATGTGCGCATTTTGTCATGTCTAACTTATCAAGTCATTGTAGTGATTATGCACAAAGTGGACAATCTTGTGTGCACCGGCCACCAGCATTTTGTTATGTCTGCTGAGCCACTGTAATTTACATCCTTCCAAATGCTTTGTCGGGTCTGAGGTGTGAGGATGCTTGAAATTTGGGGATTCAAAAGAAGAATATCAATCTAGGCAACTACTCAACTAGCATGACCAAAGTTATAATTCTTTACTTGGAATAGTCAAAACACCTTGATAGGACTATCAATTTAGACAACGAGCATGAACAAAGTGAATTAGGGAATGACAATAGAGAAAAAAAATACGTGACGAGTATAAAATTTTTGCAAATATTACAAACCATACCACCACAACAATACAACATATACACAACCTTAAACATTGAGAAAACTAGACAGAAAACATTCCTTGTACTAACAAACAATGGCATTCCATCTATGCTGTCAAAAATGTTAATTGGGGGTTGCAACACCCTTTCTCTCTAACCAATTCTGCAGACCATCATCCCTTACAGTTTGCTGCATATCTGGTGTGCACGCTATGTGGTGAGAGCATCGGGGAGATTGGTGGACGACCCGAGAATGCTGCCCCCAACGTCGGGGAAGCATTCAAAGCCGGGCAGAGACGTGACCTCCCCGGCCCTGCTTACCTGAACCGGATACTGCATCAGGTGGCCTCTCATTTCATGGTAGTTGGCTGCCACAAACGCTTTCCAGTTGTACCTAGCGATCTCGTTCACACGCCTCACGCACTTTATGCTGTTCGGCTTCTGGAAACACGGCTCCAGCTCCCCAAGATGTTCAGCCCAGAGGGACATTCTGTAACCGTAAACCTGCATTCATCCAAAGCAGCAACGTTATTACCTAGGATTCTTGCAGGTCTCAGACATGTTTTCGCATAACTTCAAGGGTTTTTGTCCTAGAAAAGTTTTCGTTTTATAACATCGAACAGAAAAGGACGCGAGAAAGAAATTTCAGACCTGGCCTTGTGCAAGGCTTTTCTTATTCGCCCACGTGTTATGTGGTTGATAAGCTCCCATCGCGATTTCTGTGTCCCTGGAACCACTCAAGGATCTCTGGTTGATATTTGCAGAACCCATTAGGATATATTCGTCGTCAACTATCATGCCTTTGGAATGAACATAGATCATAAATCTGCGGAACTTTTGAGCTAATTTCTGCATAAAAAAAAAAAAGGGGATAGAAAGGAAGGTGGATTTCACTATTTAAGGCATAACATAACTCACGACTCAAACATGTTCAGTGTTCCAATGTCTGTCAAATGAAATGGCGTTGAAACTTGAAAAGTTTAAAACGGCATGCTAAAGCGTTCGTTTCAGTTGGAAAACAATAACTATCTGAGCTCGGTGTAACTACTGCTAATATATATATATATATATATATATATATATATATATATATATATATATATATATAGCAGATGCCATACTTCGTTTTTATCTATTTGTATTAGTATAGAGCTTGTTTACCAGTGAGCGGCCCTGTGGAGGTGTACTCGGTTCGCCGTGATTTCCCGGATCTGCAGGTTCTCGCTTCCCGAGGCAATAGAAGTTCAAGTAGTCCTGAGGATGGCGTTCAGAGAGGCCTGCATTCTCAAGAGCCCGTGCCACGACTTTATACATCATGGACATTGTTTGGTGCTGTCCAAAAAGCGAGTTTTCTTAATGTTTGATGCAAAAGAAGAACACAATGCAAACACGACGATCATACCTTTCTAAGCGAACTATACAAACGAAAACGAAGCACAAAAAAGTAGCAGAATCACCAAAGAGAAAAATCAGAATGCGAGATACAGTGTATAAATGAGGAGCTGGATTATACCTGCCAAAAGAGAATTTCCTGGACAGCAGAACTGGAAGTGATGCCTTCGGGCCACATTGGAATCACAATATACACCGCAAAATCTTCATATTCTGCTATTTTACTCGCAATATTCAAAGCTAGTTCCATAGGCACAAGATTGTTTGCACCTGCAAAACAAAATGCAAGTTTAACCTTGAAATGTCATAATCCACGAATAGATATTCACCGAGACATATATAGTTTTTCATGTCATCATCCTAAGGTAAACGGTGAAGGAATAGCGAGAATCCCTTTGGATATATGCTAAATTTAGCGACACAACGTTACAACCCACAATGAGAAAGCCGAGTTTTGAAACTGTTTACCTGCATATCTGTGCGAAGCCCAGTTATATGAAGAGCCAATAAAATACTGATTCTCGATGTAAACAAAGTGCTGGGCGAATCTTATCGCATTCACATACGCAGTGTGTATGCTTCTGTCTATCCGCAAAGCCTTCCCGCAAACAAGATTCTACAATAAAAATTAAAAACAAAACTATCTTAATCTCGTCCTCATTTTGGCCAAGCAAGAAATGTCTAAAACTAATCACTACATACAAATCTCTTAGTTCTACCTGAGCCTCGGCTTCCTTAACATCCTTTGGAAATCCTTTGACAGATCCAGAATCAATTGATCGAAACACCTGACAAGAACCTTAAACAGTAATTAACTGATTCAAAGAATTTGTTTATTAGAACAGAATTGAAGTAATAGAACTAAAATGCTTGGAACCTGCACGTTCCAGTTCTCTGGATCTTCTTCACTGGTAACACGAACACTATGATCGCCATCAGGACCCGCAGAAGGAAGCTTCATGTGTGGAACTAGTTTCAAATTAAGCAAATCATCTTCACTCCGATGCCTGACCTTTTTTATTTTTAAATACATACGTCTTGAGGATTTTCTGAATCTCTGCTCAAAGTTAGTCAGTACATCATATGCAGCAGGACCGTCAATTCTACAGTGTAAATCATGCCACGGTTGTCTCGGGCCAGACGAGCAATCCTGTACATTTCGCAGAGAACAATTACATTAAGACAGCAATAACAGTGTGCCTAATCAGCAGCAAGACAAAATTTGTTAGTACATCCAAACATAACACAATGGCACACTCAACTGGGCTATAATGCATATGAACCAAGCCACACTAAAAGACTGAATCCAATCAATTAACTAGTCTAACCCATGACTTTATAACCCATATGTTTGTCTCTTATTTTCAATGTGGACTCTTAACACACGTAAAGAGAGCTTTAATGTGATTTTTCTTCAGTATAGTCCAAGAGGTGAATGGAAATACTCACTGAAAATGTAGGATTGTGAATATCGTTTTCAAAGATAGTGTCAAGATCACTAAAAATCCGATGCTCAGGGGTGTCATATCGTCCATCACATAAATCCAGGCCACCGATAAAGGCTGTAACTTTTCTACAATCTCCAGCAGCTGCTGTGTCAAGAATAACACACTTCTGATGGTGTGTAAAAAGGTTTCCAACAACCTGTGGCAAACGGTGATTGTTTCAATAAAAACGAAAATATCAACATTCTCAAGAATCACCGGCATGCCCTGGGCTTGATCTCTTCTTAGAACAATGAAACGAAATCTCAAACTGAAAGTTGACACAATAAGTTTTTCCATAATTATATAGTGCATTTACAGAAACTCGCCCACCTTTTGTTTGAAAATGCTGAGTTTATTACTGGGAGAACGAGGACAGAGCACACAATTAACACTAGAGTGCTTGAAAAACTTCCTAGTTTCTTCATCGTGGGTTTGCATAACTCCTTCCTGCAATTAAGGTCACAATTCAATCTAAAGAACATCATAAAACATGGTTATCCATTTTGCATATTCAAACGCCAAAAGCAATAGCTAGTAGCAAAGACGCAACTTTATTTTCTTATACCGCCACATTTTTGAGAGGCAAGACACTGGACTTGGCCCTTTAGGCCTCTGCCCAAAAATCCCCCTAGCCACTAGGTGTTGGACTTGGCCCTTCATTGGCCTCCGCCCAACAAAAGAGGACTCATTAAGTAAACAAACTTTGTGACTTGAGAATGGAGTAACATTACAGTTTTTACAAGGAAGTCATGGCTTGATGTTTTATCATCCCAGATGAGCACAATTACACGAACTCCTTCATGTGACTTGAACTTCAGTAAATCTCCCAGGCATTTTGCCCCTGTAGGAGGCAACGGCCTAGTAGGTTCCCTAACTAGCTTTACCCGGTGAAAGACAGACCACCCAACCACATAGATTAGATGTTTTGCCTCCAGAATAGCATGGCATATATCTTCCCAACATTTCTTTTGCTTAAAAACTTTCCCATCATCTAGTGCAATGTCAGGAAGCATTTCATCGGGCACATGAGCATCCTGATAAAGCGTAATGCTTCCTCCTCTCCGCATTGGGAAGTAAGTATTTGGCAATCCTAGAGAGTCTTTTAAAATACCAATACCGTCTTTATATATAGGGTTGTTTGCAACTGGCCTGTACTCAATAGACAGATGCAGTTCGGCACCAGCTTTCACAGCACCCCCGGAGGATCCAAGGATGGGGAACCAACCACTGACTTCACTTCCATCGAGGATATCTTCAACAGGTATCTCCACTGATCCAATCATTTCTGCCCCAACTCCATCATTATCCTTGACATGAAACACCACTTTCTCAATAGGGTGAGCTATTGGCAGGCAGAAATGCTCATCCCACGTTGGGTTTTCACAGTTGCGAATTACTGCTGTTCGAGCTATACTGGCTCCTGATACACGTACAGACACATAAGGATCACTAGTATCGAAATCCTTAAATTTGGTAAGACCTTTTACTTGATCCATGTTTGGGAGGGACTTAGCTGCCATAACCCACAAGTCCAAGTCTCCATGCAAAAGTACTGCTCTCTGAGATGTACCAATGCTACGCTCCAAAGGGGCTGAACTTGCCTGTTTTAGCAACCCCCCAACACGGGAGAGCTGAGGTGGTCCCGGATCCATCTCCATTTCTAGTATATTTTGCAGATCAAAAATAAAGACGAACTTCTCAAATATAAAGATGTTCTTTGACACCCAAAACAATTCTTAAGCTCATGTCATAGCTGCCAGACCTCAGAGGTCAAGATTGATAGAAATTGGCCCCAAGTGTTCATCAAGCACCATGAATCATGCAACAAGAACCATTAATGGATATAAACACCACATTTTCTTATGGTCATTCTGTTTCTTCAAATTACCAAGTAATAATTAGCCCAAATCTTCAATAAAGCCTTCAAATTTCATAGTCTTGAGATTCCAATCCAAACAATCCTGTTGAAGATCAAGAACGAATTCTCATTAAAACACACACACGGAGCCCTATTGAAATAGAAAATTCATGAAAAGTTATGCCATTGTAAAGGTAAATAAAGATCAAAACATGGAAGTAATCCACAGCACGTTTATAAAAAGTCAGAACTATAGTAATATATCCTCATCATACACTGATATACAAAGTTGTGCACATATACACCTTCAAAACATAGTTTTTGTTAAAAATCCACCTAGTTTTCACATCAAAGAATTGAAAGTGCACAAATTTATCAGCTTTGCATGTCAGGAAACATAGATTGTGCACATATACACATTAAAAACATAGCATTTTTAAGAACCTATCTAGTTTTCATATCAAATAATTGAAAGTGGGGGGCAACCCCATCCAAGTTTGTCCGTCAATTTCTCTTTGTAACCACAAGGTGAGACAGCTTATTGACCTTCTTGGTTTGAACATGTCACCTATGGGAACCCTAAGGTGATTTACTTCCTTCTAGTCATTTACCGGCTAGGGTCACCACGCGAATGGTTGCAGGTTCCCTTGTAATCCAAAAAATAAATAAATAATTGAGAGTGCACAAATTTATCAGCTTTGCATGTCAGGAAACATAGATTGTGCACATATACACATTCAAAACATAGTGTTTTTAAGAAACCACCTAGTTTTCAAATCAAAGAATTGAAAGTGCACAAATTCATCAGCTCTGCATGCCAGAAAACATAGATTGTGAACATATAAACATTCAAAACATATTAATAAATAATTATTTTTTTTAAACCTAGTTTTCACATCAGAGAATTGAAATTGCAGAAATTTATCACCTTTTCATGTCAGGAAACATAGATTGATCACATTATCATCGCAAACACTCGTATGTAAAAGAAAAGAGAAATGCGTACAGTTTCTGCGTCTGTTTGTTAGATTTCTCGGCAGCGGTTGAAGAGGGCGGTGATGGGAATGCTACTCGAGATCGAAGTGCGAGAAACGGAAAAAACAGAAGGAATGGGAGAGCATGAAGGAGGAGGATGAAGAGGAAGAGCCTTGACCACAACAGTGCGGGATTGGCGGGAAAATGGCCATGAGTGTGTCCAGTCACCATAGACTTCTGCATGTCATCCTCCATTCTTTTCTCTTCTCTTAATTTCGTGTATGAAAGTTTTATTTCATGATAGCCAACACAATTCTAGCTATTATGTTAATAAAAAATCAGTCCAGAATGAATGGTCGTGTAAGTGTAGCATGATTGTTGAAAAATCTTCCTAATATAATTTTTATGAGTAATTTGTACCTATGCTATTACTTGATCACGAGCTCAATTTAGTCCGTTGCACGAAATTTCTTAATACTCCCCTTGTCTTTAATTGATTGTCTCATTTGTTTTTTACACGATTTTTAATACAACATACCAAATGTTACTAACTTTTCAATTTTGTCTTCAAAAGTATGTGTTATTTGTATAAAGTTCAATTGTACTTACATCTAGAAATTTGAAAAGTCAAAATGGTAAATTGGAAAATGTAGAGTGATAGTTATGTTCAATTTTAAAAATTATTTCGCGGCAAATTGAAAAGGAAAGTAAGACAGGTAAAATGAAACGAAGGGAATACATTTTATCTTGTACGATATGTGGACTATTACACATGAGTAGCAGTGTAGCACCCTCAGGTCTCGAATAGTAACTATTAATTTCACTCGTCATACAAAAAGGAATAAGGGTCAAATAGGTCATCAAACTGCACACGATAATCCAATTAGACCACTGAACTTAAAAACAAACCTACACTTGAATTCCTAAACTAACCAATTTCACTTCTTTCAATTTGCAAGTTTATAACCCGACAGCCCAAATTTAAAATACTTTTTTAAAATAATTATTTAATTAAAACAAATAAAAGACTTCCACCTTCTAGGTTTCTTCGTCTCCGCTTCTTGGGCGATTCTTCATTACATAAGAAGTTAGGAATAAGGGTCAAATAGGCCATCGAACTACACACAAAAATACAATTAGGCCACTGAACTCAAAAAACATGCAATTGGATCCTTGAATAGCGCAAAATAATGCAATTAATCCAAAAGTGACCTACTTACCTGGAGTGGAGATTATTTTATTAAAATAATACTTTTTTATTATATTAAATAACTGTAAATAAATAAAATAAAAATAAAATTAAAAAAAAAAAACGCATCGTCTCCAGGCCACCGGAGACGATGCGTTTTCCGGCAGCCTGGAGACGTTCTATGCCGGAGAAGAAGGGACGACTAGGGACGTCGTCCCTTCTTCTCCGTAATAGTCCTTCGTCTCCACGCCGGAGACGAAGGGCTCCCTTCGTCTCCAGGCCGGAAACGAAGGGCTCCCTTCGTCTCCAGGCCGGAGACGAAGGGACGTCTTCGTCTCCAGGCTGCCGGAGACGCTTCGTCTCCGGCGGCCTGGAGACGAGGCGTTTTTTTTGTTTTTTTTTTTTGTTTTTTAAATAAATTTTGTTATTTAGAAATATTTAATAAAATAAAAAATTATTATTTTAATAAAATAACCTCCACTTCAGGTAAGCAGGTCACTTTTGGGTTCAATTGCTTCATTTTGCGTTGTTCAGGGACCTAATTGCATGTTTTTTGAGTTCAGTGGCCCAATTGCATTTTCGTATGTAATTCGATGGCTAATTTGACCCTTATTCCAAGAAGTTAATTTTTGTCTCCATAGTGAGACCCACCAAGAAGGAAAACAAAATTGTGCCTTGGTCAAGTAAGAATCAAAACTACCACACACTGGGCGCATTAATCTGAAACATTTTTATTTATTTATTTATTTATTTTTTCCTTTCCTTCCAATTTCTCTCTTATAAAAAACTCTCAAAATCTATATGCTACAAGACACGTGTAGCTTCATTTGTTATTTTTTTTCCTCAACTTTTGGAATGAGTAAATATCCAAAATGGTCCCTAGACTATAGCTAAATTCACGAATTGGTCATTGATTATTGATTTCAACCAATTAAGTCCTTAACTTTCTAATTTTGACCCAATTAAGTCCTCCGTCTATTTGACCGTTTGTTGACCGTTATCTCTAAGGATATATATGTAATTTTGGAGACGAAGCGGGTAGAGCGACGGCCGGAGATAGTCGAACAGTTTCACCGTCAAGCTTCAACTCTCTGTCGCCGTCAAGCTTTCTCTCTGTAAGCCATCCTCCAACCCAAGAAATGCTTTGTCCGGCCACACTACCGCCTACTCTTCTTTCTCTTCCTCCCCTTTTACACCAGAACTCGGCGCTGACTTCTCTGGCCGCCGCTCTACCCGCTTCGTCTACAAAATTACATATATATCCTCAGAGATAACGGTCAACAAACGGTAAAATAGACGGATGACTTAATTAGATCAAAATTGGAAAGCTAAGAACTTAATTGGGTCAAAATTAAAAAGTTAAGGACTTAATTGGTTGAAATCAATAGTCGAGGATTAATTTGTAAATTTAGCTATAGTCGATGGACCATTTTGGGTATTTACTCTTTTGGAATTGGCGATAGGTTAATTGAATTTTGTGGTGTATGTCAGTATATGTCCCTGCCTAATAAAGTAATAAGTAGTGACGATTGGTGGGTGAAGGGGTTGTGCGGACGTGGAAGGTTATCTGCAACGTGTCATCATTGGATTGCTCATAAATTATCCTTTTATCAACAAACGGATGCTCAACGCCTCAACGTCCACAAATTTGTTTGTGCACCATGTTGTACTTGTGTAGACTATCCATATAAAATACATTTTTAATATACTAAAAGTATTTTATTTGTGTAATAAATATATATTATTTAATAATATAAAAAATAATATACTTTTAAATAATATATTTTAAATATACAAATAATATATTTTTAACATATTAAAAATGTACTTTTTATTTATGATCCACATAGTTACGTAAATCATGACCATGATCGATGTCTCAACCTCAAATGTTCATTAATTTGTTGATATATTATTTTTTTTAAACATTATTAGTCATTCATGTTATCGCAAATAGTTTTATTTTAGTCTCTAATAAAATTAAGAAAGCATCAAATTTGGTTTTTAATCAATCATGCACTTTTCTAAGACACATAGGAATTGAAACTATACAGCCAATAACGAGCTGAGTGAAGAATTAAACATATATTATAATCACTCCCACTGAAAGAGACTAAAAACGTTGTCACTTTTTATTTGAATTAAAATGAATGGAAACTAAATATGAAAGATGTATATTCTTAGACCACAAAATCTCTCCCTCGTGCTCAACCAACCATATTAACATAAACCTACCATCATTACCCGCATGAGCAGCTCAACTAATCAAATGATCAGGGATTGAGTCTCACCAGCAAGGCTCTTTGTGCTTGCAATAAACAAAGGTCTAACCATCGAGTTGGGGTTCAACATTTTGGAAGAATAAACCTACCATCATTCTCCAACTCAAATTTTGATAATTTTAAAATTGAGAGATTACGAGCCAACATTCACTCCGTTTAGTCTGCTGCACATGGTCTTTTTCACCAAGGTGTGCAGACCCGAGAAGCAAAACTAAAAAAGATTTCTCGACTTTGTTTAATTTGATAAAATAGTTAGCTTATTGGCTAATTTTTGTTTATTAGCTGTTTGACCGTTAAAAATTCAATACAAATGTTTGATTAATCAATTTTTTTGTAACTCTAAAATGTTAAAATTCAAAAAGCTGCTCAAAGCAATTTTTACTTTTTTAGAAAAAAAATTATATCAAACAACTAATTTACCAAACATTTTTCTAACATCGTCTAATGTTATCAACTAGTTATACTCTCTAACCCAATCATCTAACAATCATTTACCAAACAGGGGCTTCATATTAAACAATAGCAAATTAAACAAGTACAGAAAATGGGTGCAAAACTTAACAACATTTCATATTAAATTGTAAATATAGAGCAAGTACAGATAATGTATGGAAGAACTAAAACTCCATTGTTGTGGACAGGAAAATTACAGAATAATTAAATATATAATAAATAAATACACTTATCGATTAGACAATCTCTTCTTCCTTGTGGGTCTCAATGACAACGTTAGACGTAGGGTAAGCGACGCAGGTGAGGACGTAGCCGGCGTCCATCTGCTCGTCGTCGAGGAAGCTGTTGTCGGACTGGTCGACGGTGCCGGAGACCACCTTGCCGGCGCAGGAGGAGCAGGAGCCGGCGCGGCACGAGTACGGGAGATCGGCCCCCAATTCCTCCGCCTGGTCCAGAACGTAAACGTCGTCGGGGCAATCGAACTCGAAGTCCCCTGTCGGGGTCACCAGTTTCACCTTGTAAGACGCCATGCAGGTCATCCGCCCCATGTTGCCGGATTTCAGCCCCAACTGCGCCGGCCGGAAGTTCGAGATGGCCCTCAGGCTGCCGCCCGCCGCCGCCGGCTTCCCGGACAGGAAGGAGGTGCTCATCATGCTGCCTGCGGAGAGAGTCGCCATTTTTTTCTTTTTCGATTCTTGGGTTAGTTGAGAATGGCAACTTATCTATCTTGAGCGTGTGGCCGTTCAATATATAGCGCGAGACGATAAAAGGATAGGGTTACACGGATTCCATATATCATCACTACCTTACATTCTTTTCATTTTTTATTTTTTATTTATTATTTTTTTTTTATCAATCTAGGGTGCTATGAGTAAGTATCCGGTAGGGTCACAGGAGTAGCAGAGTGGGTGAAGCATGATTCACAAGGTTACGAGTTAAATTTTTACGAATTCTTTTGGCCAAGCTTGTAGGCGCGCGGTATTGCATAGCACACATATGGTCTTCCTAACATGATTTACCTGTTGTGCATAGTCACTCGTAGTGACACGGTATTCCTAATGTGGTTTACTCGTTCACACTCAACCTCTCGTTAGTTGTAGTGGTTGCGAAAGTAATTCTTTCGATCGGATCTGTCCATGCACAAGGTCTTTCAATTCTAATGTAGTTTAATTTGCACGTGCATACCCTCATGTCATGGCTACAGAAGTACATAATAACTCTCTTAGCTTGATCGAGTTTTCCTATTGTGGTTTACTTGTGCATGTTATCGGTTAGTGGCTACAAAAATAATTCTTTGAGTCCAACATGTCGTATATACTCGGTCTTCTTAACATAGGGGTGCACACCTTTTATAATAGTTGTAGAAGCATATCTACATCTATGCAATATTTTATCACTTTTAAAAGTATATTATAATATTATAATATCATATTATCACATTTAATTTGAAATTTAACATTATTTTCTCTACCATACTAATATCCTAATTCATATTCAATGTAAATAATAATAATAATAATAATAATAATAATAATAATAATAATAATAATAATAATAATAATAATAATAATAATAATAATAATAATAATAATTATTATTATTATTATTATTATTATTATTATTATTATTATTATTTGCGCAGTAAATCAGATGCGATCCAAAAGTTTTAGAAATTGTGTGGTTGAGAGGATGGAAGGTTATCTGATCTGCAACCTGGCATCCGCCCAAGGCATAAATGGAGGTGCATTTAGCTGTTTGATTTTGTGAGCTTCAATTCTAGCCTTTCATTTCCTCACCAACTCTACACTGTCCCTTTTTCTAGTTTTGTTAATAACCAAAAAAATAAAAAATAAAAAAAATACACACACACAAATAAATAAATAAACGGACTCCAATCCTTTTGGCTGAATTTATGGTGCACAATTTTTATAGTGAAGTTTGTGATTTTTTTTTTATATAATTGAGTGTTTGGTAAATAGATGTTAGTTGTGTTTGACTAATTGATAACATTAGCTAATTGTAAAAAGATTTTTAATAAATTCGTTGATAGCTGATTATATGTAAAATCGAAAAAAATTATTTTGAGCAGTTTTTTGTATTTAACGTTTTGAATCGATAAGCTATTGCAAAAAGCTAATTAATCAAACGCTTATATTGGTTGTTTAATCAAGTTAAACAGCTAATAGTGACCAAATATCAAAATTGACTGATAAGCTAACTATGTTACTAAATAGGACCAATATATATAATGCACACACTAAAAGTGGATGCAAGTTTCTCAAGTCATCATATTATTGAGGTTTTTCTTTTAAACTTTTTTGTTACTTTATGTGACGAGAAAAATTTATCGTCATTATCTGATTGATGCACAATGAATTTTTGTTAGTATATAATATATCACAAATTATATAAGATAAGTAAATCACAGTAAAAAGATTATGTGTAATGAGTTTGAGCAATAGAGTGTTAACAATAATCGAATTATGAAATTAAGTACGAAAAATATGCTCAACTCACTCACTTGGTCTTGTAGAGAAAAAAAATCATCTTCTAATTGGTAAGACGCGTTCGAAAATAAACGTCACAAATTCTGACAATGTTTTTTTTTTTTTTTTTTTTTTTTTTTTTTTTTTTTTTTTTGTGTGTGTGGCATAAAATAATATAGAATTAAGAACAAGGATATACCCGAATACGGCATGTGTTCTCCACAATACCACGATGGGGAAATGGCAAGCTGCCAAATTGATTTTGATATTAGAGAATTTGTACTTTTTAGGTTGTGTTTGTTAAAATTTTTAATTTTTTTAATTTTTTGTTTCTCTCTCATTTTTCAGTCACCATTATATATTTGTAAAATTGGGAAAAAAAAAATACATAATAGTATAAATCAGAATGAAAATAAGGCCTAGAGTTACACTATGATGTTATAAGACATGATATGAGAAATTTATAATTATATTATAAATTAAAGCTAGTGCATACTAGTGCAAATCAATAGATAGAAGATGATTTAAAGCTTATAATAAGAGAGTACAATTAATATATGTATGCGCTAAAATTTACAACCAGTGTCATTACATGACAAGCTCTAGTCGGTGGGTATGTGCGACTAGTAAAATGGCACGGCAAATTAGTTAAATTGCACAACTGATCCATTAAGTTATAGTCCGATTGTGTGACGACTATCAATGCAAGTTGGGCTGATCGTTGAACCTCTTGCCCATGGTTGTGCTCAGATCATTCAAAACATTGGTTACGCTATGTATGGACTTGCTATTTGGGTTATTGGCTACTTAGGGTGTCCTATAACATCACCCGTACAAATAAATGTATTCTCTATTTATTCATTGCACATGTTATTAATGAGTGTATAATATTTAAAATATAAATACATAGTCTAACTATCAATTTAAATTTTTAATTGAGACATAATACATTTTTTAATTACTATAGTATCAAAACGTTAAACATCTATTTTTTTTTAGTACTACTGACTCTATTATCGTTAAAGATATACTTAAAATGCCAAACATCTACTCACTATAATAAAGTATAGCTACCAATATGGGGGTAAACTAACAATTTTTAGTGAGCATTTTTGTGGTGTGTTTGTTAGAATCATTAACTGGCCGGAGAATTCTGTTGCCTTGGGATCCAACAATGGGAAACTAAAAGTGACTTCTATTGATGTTTAAGATGTAACCAACATAAATGGCAAATTATTTAATGTTTAAAAATACACAATTTATATTTTGAATGTTCACAATTTATATAATGAATGTTCACAATTTATATACTGAACATTTACAATTTACATATTGAATGTTCACAATTTTATATACTAAATATTCATAATTTACATATTGAATGTTAACGATTTGAATTGTGAATATTCAATATATAAATTGTATATTTTGATCCGAATCCATGACTTAACTGTCCAATATGAATAGTAGTAACGATTCTGCCAATGTTGTCAATTTCATGTTTCCAACACTTCAGTCGCCATTATTGTTATTGCTCACGGTTTGACCTTGTATAGCTCTAGAGCAAAAGTTTTGGCTAAGACAATCTTGTCTCAAATCTAAGATAAAGATCTTATCTTGGTCTAAAAATTTCATCTTAGATTGGATTTTACGACTAATGGGTAGTCGACCGCATCTCAAGTGGGTCGTTATATCGTGGATCGTGGTACACGTGTACCGCGGTCAAAATGGGGCGCCGTTAGTTTTAACAGAGTGTGTATTTTTTGTATGTTAATTACCAACTGACACTACAATATATCTAAACCGATACTGCCTTACGTATTATTTTTATATTATCAAATGAAACTGCAGTTATATCAAAATGATACTATAGTTGTGGTGAAATGAAACTGCAGTGTATATAAAATGAAACTGAATAACATTTCACATATTTGAGTGTATATTGTACAATGAAGTTGTAATTATATCAAAATGATTATGTAGTTGTGTTTAAATAAAACTATAATGTATATAAAATAAAATTAAACAACATTTTCACATATTTGAGTCTATAAATATCGAATGAAACTGTAGTTATATTGAAATGAAACTGTAGTTGTGTTGAACTGAAACTGCAGTGTATACAAAATGAAACTGAATAACATAATTACTTTTTTGCGGAACGGCGGGAAACAAATGCCGTTTCTTTTCATTAAACAAAACAGCGTCGTTTTGATGCGCGGTGCATAATCGATTATGCACCGCGGTGCACGATATAATTTGCCATGTCCAATCGTTATATTGTGCATCAGGGCGCACACAACATTGTGCGCCTCGCCCAGTCTAAAACGACGTCGTTTTGTTAAGTTGTGTAGGGAGTTGACGCGACAGAGTGTGTGTATTTTGTTATATAATTATGTACATTAAGTTATACAATTATGTACATTTTATCATTATGTACATTTTTTTATACAATTATGTACATTCTTTTATACAATTATGTATATCTGAAACATAGAGTTTTTTTTTTTTAATAGTTAAAAGTTTATATGTATTATGTTAAGAGTTTATGTTGTATTATTTATTATGTTAGATTATGTGTATTATCTTTTAAAAAAAGAGCATGTGTATTCTGTTATACAATTATGTACATTTTTGAAACATGAGATTTTTTTTAAAAATAAGTTAACAGCAGACACGGAAAGCGTAGTTTCTAAAAAAAAAAAAAAAGTACAAAACGACGTCGTTTTGCACCAGGGCGCCCTAGTGCACGATATAAATTGCCGTGATGCAGACTTATTGTGCGTAGAGTGTACAAACTCACGATTTACCAGTTTCAATGGCTTTAGACACAAATTTTGAGAGTATATTTGTTTTGTTGAGTACTAGTGACTCTATTACAATGTAGTATATGTCTATACATACTTACTCACCAAGTTAATTCCACCAAAGGTCCCTTGTCTTTGGTGACTGATGGGGTGTGAACCCCGTGGGCTCGGGGCCCAAGAAGAAAAGAGATAAAGCCCAGACAAAGAAGGGAAGCCCAAGAAGAAAAATGGAGCAAGCCCAAAAGAGATACGAGCCAAAACGAGAAGTCGGTTTGGCCCAGGAGTCGGCTCGACCCGGAGGTCGGCACGGGTAGAGGGTCGGACTAACTAGCCGTTATTCCTAATTATCTACCCTTAAAAGTCCTATTTACTACCCCACCATTCCTAACCTCCCACTTATTACCCCACTTATTACCACTAGTCAAATATCTAATTATTATTATTATTATCCATAACCCCCCACTTAAACCCTTACTTACTACCCTACTAAATGTCCAACGGACACTTTTGGGGAGGGGCTAGCTATAAAAGGAGGAGAAGACAAGAAGAAAGGGGCATCCATTCATTCACCCACATACATGGGAGGACTCTCCCAAATATTATCCTCCCATTCACCATCCTTTCTCTCATAGAATACTCCATCACTCTCCCAAGAAGGCCTCATTCCACAATATACCAAGAAGGCTCCACCACTCATCCATACACATGGAAGGACTCTTCCACACCATTCCATCACTCTTCTTTCTATTATTCTTGCTATATTATTAGAAGCACAACACTTTGTATAGATATAGCCCTACAAGTATGTACCAAGACACCTACAAAATACATAGTGGAGTTAGGCTTGGCACCGCCCAAAAAGGCCCGTGGTTTTCCTTTCGGTTTCCACGTCAAAATCATTGAGCCCATATTATTTTAGCAAGCTTTTTATTGAAAGGTGTATCCTCCAGCTAAAGGTTGTGTTGGACCTCCTTGGGCCCGAAAACCCTAAAACCATCAGTGACAATTCTAAATTTAGTCTCATACTGTTGTTTTTGCCATTTAACATCATTAGACTAATATTTGTTGGACACTTTAAGTCATTCTCATGACTTTTTCTATTTTTAGCAAGGGCTTTTTTGTCAATTCATATTTTTCTTTTGTTATTTTTCTAGTTTCAACCGATTTAATTGGTTTAGAATTTTACTAAAAATTAATTGAAAAATATGATTACTAAAAATCAGAGGTTACCTAAAGTTCTAAACCAATTAAACCGATTGAAATTGAAAAAATAACAAAAGAAAAACATGAAAAGACAAAAATACCTTTACTAAAAATATGAAAAGTCATGAGAAGAACTAAAAGTGTCCAAAAAAATAATAGTATGGAGATGTTAAATGACAAAAACGATAATCTGAAACTAAATCTGAAATTATCACTAAAGACAATGGATCTTTAACTCTTTCTCAACCTATTGAAGTACAAAAAGTCAATATCCCCACTAATTCAAATTTGAAGAGGTGTCATTAAACTACAAAGGAATAAGGTTTAAATTGGCCACTCAACGTAACTTGAAAATGCAATTAGGCCACTGAACGAAAAAAAAGTGCAATTAGGCCATTGAACACTCAAAAAATGTGCAATTAGGCCACTGAACTCTCCAAACGTATGCAATTTTACCGGATAGCAGGTTACCATCAATTTTAGCAGGTTACCTGCTTACGTGGCAGCTTAGTTGGCATTTTTAATAATTTTTAAATAATTTTTAATAATTAATTTTAATAATAAATTTTATAAAAAATTAGAAAAAATTAAATAAAAAATAAAATAAAGTCGTTTTTATTTTAAAAAAAAAAATTTAATAAAAAGTTATTATTAAAATTTATTAAAAATTAATTAAAATTTATTAAAAATGCCAACTCAGCTGCCACGTAAGCAGATAACCTGCTAAAATTGAGGGTAACCTGGTGAAATTGCACATTTTTGGAATGTTCAATGGCCTAATTGCACTTTTTTTTCGTTCAATGGCCTAATTGCATTTTCAGGTTACGTTCAGTGGCCAATTTGAACCTTATTCCAACTACAAATTACTTGGCGAGAATTTAAAATTAATTTAGCTTAACGCGAAACATGTAAGGTATCCAAAAAAAAAAAAAAATTAATTAGACTTTTGATTTTAAATGGATGGTCCGATTAGAAAATTCGTACGTACTTTTCCTTCGAGTTAGTTGAACCCTAAGCGAATAAGCGCGCGGTACCGGTATAACACAGGCGAATCACTGAAAATTGTCCAGGTTCATCCCCCCACACCACAAATCTTTCCCCATTCTTCGTCAACAACCTCAAATTTCCCCTGTTCTTCACTCTCACATACAATTCCCATGCGTATGCACACAAAATCTGGATCTTCAGTCTCTTCTGTGAAAATTTCGATTGCATTGATGATGGCGTACTCGTATTTGGTGAGCTGTCTCTGCTGTTCTTGCCGCTGTTGCTGTTGAGAAAAATTGGAAGTTGAGGTTTAGAATTGAGGCTTTGCTTTGATTTATTGAAATAGTGAGTTTTTGTTTGAATTTTTTGGTGTTATTGATTGATTGGTTATGGATTTGAAACAACCGCAGTCGTGTAATTTGTCGTTAGGGTTTCCATCTCACTTATCGGCTGCGGCGCCACCCAACCGGAGCCAAATGGCTGATGATTCGATCTCTTTTCGGATCGATTCGAGCGTTGGCGACCATTCCCATCCGGTTCCATCGGTGCCGCTTCAATTGATGGAGCGGCAGACGGCGGAGGTTAAGGAGAAGGACGTGGGAGAGAGTCGGAATGAGGAGAAGGATGTTGAGGAGATTCGGATTTTGGGACATTCTATGTGTTTGAAGCGGAAGAGGGATATTGATTCGGTGTCAATGACTTCTCCTTTATCTAATGGATTTAGGGTGCCAAATTCTAGTGAGCATCAGCAAGGTTTAGAAATGCGCAAGAATGCTGTTAGGGCTTGGGGGAATCAGAGCCTTCGGTTGGCTGACCCTGATGTGTTTGAGATAATGGAGAAGGAAAAGCTGAGGCAATTCAAGGGGATTGAACTGATTGCTTCAGAGAATTTTGTTTGCAAGGCCGTAATGGAGGCGTTGGGAAGCCACTTGACTAATAAATACTCAGAAGGAATGCCCGGAGCAAGGTATTACGGTGGGAATCAGTTCATTGATGAGATTGAGATACTGTGCTGTGAGCGCGCTTTGGCTGCATTTGGACTTGATCCTGAAAACTGGGGTGTGAATGTTCAGCCTTATTCATGCACATCTGCAAACTTTGCAGTTTATACTGGTCTGCTATTACCCGGTGATCGTATAATGGGGTTGGATACACCTTCTGGTGGTAACACAAGTCATGGGTACTATCTCCCAAATGGAAGGAAAGTTTCAGGGGCTTCGATTTTCTTTGAGAGTCTGCCTTATAAGGTCAACCCACAAACTGGATATGTGGATTATAATAAGCTTGAGGAAAGGGCTTTTGATTTCCGTCCTAAGATACTTATATGTGGTGGGAGTTCGTATCCCCGAGAGTGGGATTATGCGAGGTTTAGGCAGATTGCGGATAAGTGTGGAGCTGTTTTGTTGTGTGACATGGCTCAAATCAGTGGCCTGGTTGCTGCCAAGGTGGTTATCTCCACATACCTTCTAATCTTTTTTGAATATTTATCATCATTGCTCCTTTGATCTATTAATTAGCTGATCTGTACATAGTTTAGTGTGGAAGAAGATTTGTATTTTCCAAAATCCAAAAATAGCTTTTGGCATTGTCTTTCTTTGAATCAAAAGAAAGGTTAATGATGTAGAGGAGAGGAAGTGACAATTAGGCATACGTTCTTGCCACTAAATTGGTTCCTTGTTTCATCTTAGGAATCAGGTTTGTTAGTCTTTGTAACATTTGCTTGGGTGGCTCTGTCTTTGCAGGTTTGTGATAGCCCCTTTGATTATTGTGATATCGTTACCGCTACAACCCACAAGAGTCTTCGAGGTCCAAGAGGTGGTATTATTTTTTATAGGAAGGGTTCAAAACCAAGGAAGAGAGGCATGCTTTTGAACCAAGGCGATGGCTGTGATAAATATGATTTTGAGGAGAAGATAAATTTTGCTGTTTTCCCGGCATTGCAAGGCGGGCCACACAACAACCACATTGCTGGCCTTGCTATAGCATTGAAACAAGTAGCAACCCCCGAGTACAAGTCTTACATGCAACAAGTGAAGAGGAACGCTCATGCCCTTGGAGCTGCTTTATTGCGAAGAAATTGTAGACTTGTCACTGGGGGAACAGACAATCACCTGATAATTTGGGATCTAAGGAATCTTGGTTTAACAGGTTTGCCACTTTCTTTGTCATACTGTCCTTGCCATGTTACTTTTGAACACAATGTGTTTGGCAATCACATTACTTACATCATACCTCGTGAAGTATTTAATTGTTAATGTTTTTATGAGAAGAAAGTTGTCTAATCATTAATCAACATCGTGCTTTCCTAAGGCAAGAAGTATGTAATTGTTAACATTGTTTAAGGTGACTGTGATTGACATTAACTGGCCAGAAGTTGCTATTATAACTATGCCCTGCACTGTCGTGTTCTGCAGGTAAAAATTTCGAGATGATCTGTGAGCTGTGTCACATTACACTCAACAAAGTCATGATCTTTGACGACAGTGGGGCTATTACGCCTGGGGGCGTGAGGATAGGTAAGCCAACTTCATTCCTCACCCAATTTGGTTATCATTAACTTTCACTCGAACCGTGTGGACTCGAAGCATAGACATCCATAATGATAACTTTTCTCTCTGGCTGCAGGAACTTCAGCCATGACAACAAGAGGATGTTTAGAGCCTGATTTTGATACGATAGCTGATATCCTCCTAAAAGCTGCTCAGATTGCAAGTTCAGTACAGCGAGAACATGGGAAGCTGTCCAAGGCATTCTCGAAGGGCATCGAGAACAACAAAGATGTCATCGAGCTTCGGGCGCTCGTCGAAAGCTTTGCATCCCAGTTTGCAATGCCTGGATTTGATGTATGATGCAGTGCCAGAACTGAGTAATGCTTCTTTGCAATTTTTAAACTTTCACCTGGTATATATTGCTACTAGATGCCAGATTTTTACACGTATAGTAGGGAGTCTTCATTGTTACTCAGTATTATTTATTTGTTTCATTCAAGGTGTATATCGGCTGTGAGATTTTGTCATACAGGAAAAGAAAAACAATGAAAGAATCAAGTGGGTGATAACAAGGCTTGTTCAGTATTATGCTCTTCCCACCTTGTCTATAAATCTAACAATTTTGTTTTTCATACAAGGAGATATAAGATATTGGTTCAAATGCGAATCGTATTTGAAAATGTACCACAATGAAATGTATTTATGCATCATAAAATGCACCACATCACACCACATTTAATGGTACATTTTTAAACACTGTGACATATTTATGCGTACTTAATGGTGAGTGATCATACAACAGTACATAATGAAATGTATTTATGCATCATAAAATGCACCACATCACACTACATTTAATGGTACATTTTTAAACACTGATATATTTATGCGTACTTAATGGTGAGTGATTATACAGTCGTACGAAAATACTACATTGTCAGCCATACGAAAATACTACATTGTCGTACGAGAACTTGACTTATATACTAAGAAAAACAAACAAGAAAAATCAAACCGATATGTCAACCCCTAACTATCACCTCGTGCTTGATAAGATCTAGTGAGAACCTAAGAATTAAGAAAGGGCACAAAGAATTCTCAAGTGGATAAAGTTTTAAGATTTTATAGCGGTGATGGTGATTAAATCCTTAGTCTTTTGCCACCTATTGATTTGAAAATAACACGTGTTGTAGAGTGCCGCAAAGGATCAAAGAATTCTCCAGCAGTTCCAGCACAGCCCCTAAGCTAGCTTCTTATATTCATCTCATTCTCTCTTTCTTCCTCACGAATATGATATCAACTGCTCCGATCCTCAAAATTAAGCCCACCATTTTTAGTTTCTTCAATTCCACTGCCTTTCAGCTTAAATATGCAAAGGGACATAAACACAAACACAAGACAGGCAAGGCCGCAAGGGAGCCCATTATCAGTATGTGGGGTTGCCATTTTGTGCTTCGTAGTACTACTTATGCTGCTCACTCCAAGAATCCCTCAGCCTAAAGCGTATCATGATTTTGCTGATAAACGCAAATTCTTTGGTAAAAAAAATTCTGTCTTTTCTCTTCTCTCTGATCGTATGTGTTGAGGTGTTTGTTAAAATGGTGTTGGTTGTAGGGATACCTTATACGCTTGATGTGACTTCAAATTTCCCCTTCCTTGCTATTGGACTAGCTGGCCTTGCGCTCTGCTATTATGGGAATTATGTCAAAATCAGGTGATCCGACATACATGTTTATACAAATTCCTTCACCACTTGTCGTCAAAACTTTAATTTATGGATTTGTCTTATAATCTTAGTTGATTATAAGAATGCTAAATTAGTTTAGGTGGCTCGTAGTTAACTAGCTCAAACTCTAATAAGCTAATAATAAATAGTTCTCATCTATTTATTCAAATTCATTGCACGTGGTCTTTTTCAGTGTAGTACACTTCTTTTATATGATTTACGTTTTATTTTGTAGATTTATCTTGGACACACTTTTAGATAGTAATGATCTGACAAGTTTATCTGATCATCTTAATAAAAAAAATAATGGTGTGTTTTGTTGGGATTTTTGCATCATACTAGGGGTTTTGATACTCATTATCGTACCATATTTGTTTGTCTACTTTTGTTATCCTACTATATATTGAAATTAAATCTTTTAGTAATTATTACTCTTTTACTCATCTACTTTTAAAAACAATGGGAGGGAAAAAATGAAAATAAAAATTAAAATTAAAAAAAAAAAGAAGTCATTGTTCATCCCATTAAATATGGAATTAAATTTAGAAAAGCTATATATCAAAGTCATTGAATGGTTGTGCTTAGATTGCAATATATAGCTTCTTATACTGATACCACCTAATTAATATGTGTTTTGCCAAATTAAAAGCTTGCAAGGGGAGGTTTTGGGGTGGACGGTTTTCTACACAGGCATTGCAACTGTTGCGTTTGGATCATCGTACTACCATCTCAACCCAAACGACGATCGTCTCGTGTGGGACCGCTTGCCGGTGAGTTATATATAGAATTAATTTCACTTTTGGTCCCACGACTTTTGAGTTCTTATCATTTTTGGTGCACAACTTTAAATTTTTTCAATTTTGGTGCCTAACTTTGTTATTTTTATCAGTTTTAGTCCTTCCAGCCAAATCGACGGTAAAATATTTCCAGATTTTATATTTTAGCGGCAAAATCGTCATCCCATGGAAAGATCTTTAATATTTAAACAAAAGAAAAATCATATTAAGAGGAAAAGAAGAGTTTGTCAATGGTCGAAACTATAAATCCTATAGATCTGTTTGGTTTCTGCCCGTCTTCCCCATTATTCTCATCATCAAACACCCTATAGATATGATTTTACAGTGATTTTTTTAGATATTGAAAATGTTTCCTTGGGATGACGATTTTACCCCTAACAATATAAAATTCAGCAAAATTTCGCTGTCAATTTGGCCAAAAGGACCAAAACTGATAAAAATAACAAAGTTAGACACCAAAATTAAAAATTTTTAAAGTTGTGCACCAAAAGTGATAGAAAATCAAAAGTCGTGGGACCAAAAGTGAAATTAATTCGTTATATATATATTATTCACTTGTTCATCATGCAAGAAATGCATTATATATATTGTGCTTTATAAATCGTTGGTTGTTGGTTGTCTCGACTCTTGATCATGGTTTTTGACATCTGATATGTATGGTACGATGATGTTGCAGATGGCTATTGCCCTCGCAGGAATCCTTTCTATCTTTGTTATTGAGAGAGTTGATGAGAAAAGGGGAATTCTGTCTATCATTCCATCCCTTTTGGTTGGTGTGGGTAGTGTCATATATTGGAGGTAATTAAGCTACTTCTATAAATTTGCAAATTTTATGATTCAATGTTAATATATATATATATATATATATATATATATATATATATATATATATATATATAACAAGTCTTTCTGTGCGGCCAGTGCGGCATACATCATTAGGTATGCTGTATGCATAAATGCACCACACGGTGTTCGAAAATACATCATTATGTGTGGTTTATTTATTTATTTTTTTTTGTGTGGTGTATTTTTTGACATTTCATTCTGATGTATTCTTGAATACTGTATGATGCATTTATGCATACTTAATGGCCGGAAAGACAGATTCTCATAGGAACTAATATATATATATATATATATATATATATATATATATATATATATATATATTAGTATTATCAACTCTATTACAATGTAAACTATCTGTTTGTCAATACCTCACCATCGGAATTTAATCCTGTGACTTTCCCTCATGTTTGTTATATAATTGTATTGATTATTCTAAGTACAAAATCTTTCCAAATTCTAATAAAATAGGTTTGTGTAATTGATTATGGGCAAATTCTAATAAATAGGTTTGTGTAATTGATTATGGGCTTCCGAACAGATTCGGGTAACAAGTTTAGCTAGTAGTGAATATTGGGTATATATAATGTGTATATATAGGGATTTTTTAATTAAATTAAACGAATTTTACGGGTTTTAGATATTATCTAGTAGTGTCAAATAATTTTTTTGTTTTTTTTTTTTTTTTTTTGTTTTTTTTTGTAATTGCTTATTCTCATCATTTAATAAAATCTTTGAAAAGGGTGGCAGAATGAATAGAGCATGATCCATGTTCTTATATAATTGTACTGATGATTGCGTGTATATATATTAAACGTGTTTTTGTATTATTTAGGAGTGTACACTATTGCACTTGAAGGTCATAAATTTTGTACATTCATGAGTTTGATTCATGTCAATAAATTTTCGATTTCTCTTGCAGACGTTTCGACGATCTCCGTCCTTATGCCATGGTCGAGACGGTTCCCATCATAGCCATTGTCCTCATGGCTCTATGGATTCCTCCAAGATATACACATTCAACATATTGGTTGTGGGCAGCGGGTTGGTTTCTCTTCTCCCTTTCTTTCAAATACTGTCTACTAAATTAGTGAAGTCCATGCGGACACATATTGATTTTTCTTTCTAAGTTTTTTTGGGGTTTTCTTATTATTAGACCCAAAAGGATCTAATGAAAATATGTTTTCTGTTTTCTATTTTTCAATTTTCAGATATTTTTAGAAATTTCCAGTTAGTAAACGGCCCCTAATTTTATATTTGAATGTAGGGTGTCTCCTCCTGGCAAGGATTGGAGAACTTGCAGATAAACCAATTTACAAATTGAGTCTTCATAGAGTGAGTGGGCACACTCTGAAGCATGTATTTGGTGCAATTCTTGCTGTCATCTTGACCTTGATGCTTGCACAGAGAGATATTCAGACTGAGAGGTACTGCATGCTTTCTCTGCTCCACCAAATCTACTTGTTTAATTTTAATTTAGAAAGTTGTTTTTTATGGTATTGTCAAAAGTATATATTCGATATTGTCTCGAAAGTGGTGATCGAGTGAGTTGGTCGTACAATTTTTGTACTTAAAAGTCACGTGTCAATTTCTTTTTGATTAAACTCACCACACGTACACTCATATGTGTGGTTGGAGAGATAAATAATAAATTTTTATCATTTTTTTTAATGTTGTTCAAATAAGAAGTGACCAATTTTTAGAATCAATGATCAATTAATACTATGTTACCAGAGAATTATAAAATAAGACTTATTACATGATCAATTAATATGTTGAAAATTACTTTTTGTTGCATTTGCAGGATAAGTTTGTTGCAGAGATGGAGAATGTCTTCTAGGAATAAAGCTAAAGAAAACGGCACCAAAGTTAGTTAGCATAAACAAAATATTAATTAGAGTCGGTACGGTAATACTAAAAAAATCAAATGTTAATCACAAAATGTGTGTCATAATAAATGCTTTTTTTTTTTTTTTAATTTTAATTATTAATCTATTAATCTTGTTAAACTTATGTAATTGTACTGTTTTATATTATTTGCATTTTATATGGTCAAATAAACATTTTAATAATTTGCTCTCGTCGTAATATAAGACTCAATATTGCAACTGAAACTTATATAAAATAATTCACTATCCAGGAAACTTTGCAACACTCCAGTCTTATATATTGCAAGTAAAACTTATACAAAATCATTCACTATCCAGGAAACTTTGCAACACTCCTTCAACACTTTGTCGACGCTAGACTTATAACAACTATTAATGTTTATTTTAATTCAATTGTCGCTTAGCTTTATGCAAGACAACTAGAACTAGTCTGTCAAAAACGGAGCAAATTGTATCCACCAAAACAAAAAATTACAAGCAAGCCAATTTAATATTAACAAAATGATGAACCGTGGACAGAGAATTTGTACCCACAAACAATGGAGGAAAAATTATTGTATTAGAGACAATCCGTTCGAAATAGACACCGATAAAGTTGTCAACATTGTACCCACAAACAACGGAAGAACAATTATTATATTAGAAATAATTCGCTTGAAATAGACACCGATAAAGCTGTCAACAACAACTGAAAGGGTAGCTATAAAGAATCCGACTTTTGATATCATATTAGAACGTACTAGTATTCTGGAATAGTTGAATAGATTCGGATATAACATAAAGAGTTAATACCCAAAATAGTCCCTCGACTATGTCGTAATTATCAATTTGGTCCTCGACTATCATTCTTACCCAATTAAGTCCTCAACTATACAATTTTTTTACCCAATTTAGTCCTTTGTCAATTTGACTGTTTGTTGACTGTCAAAAGTGGAAATAAAGTTGTAATTTTACAAGTTTTCTCCTTCCTCCGCATTTAGCAGCGCTAAACCATGTAGCAATAAGCTCCGGTTGGGTTCTAAACCTATCAGTATCGAAGTAGTGGTTGTGCATCGGATAGCCCATGAATTTGATTTTCAACGCTTTTTTGACGATTGAAATCTGATCGGAGTGTATTGCTGCATGGTTTGGCGCTGCTAAATGGAGAGGAAGGAGAAATCTTGTAAAATTATAATTTTATCCCAACTTTTGACAGTTAACAAACAATCAAATTAATACAGAGGACTAAATTGGGTAAGAATTGTATAGTTGAGGACTAAATTGGGTAAGAATTGTATAGTTGAGGACTTAATTGAGTAAAAGTTACATAGTTGAGGACTTAATTGGGTAAGAATGGTAGTTGATGACCAAATTGGTAATTATGACATAGTCGAGGGACCATTTTAAGTATTAACTCTAACATAAATATACACATAGAGACAGGGTCGGTCCAAACATTTTATAGGTCCGGGACGAAATTTTAGAAAGGATCCCTATATGAATGACTAAAATTTAAATTTAATAATACTAAAAAAAATGATAATATTAAATAACATGAAATGAGATTGTAAATTTTTTAATAATTTTTTAAATACAAAAACAATCATGATAATACGTGCTTTACTTGATGCAAAATCTTTTTTTTTTTTTTTTTTTTTGATACGCTAGTGACTCTACTACATTGTAATATCTATTCAATCATACTTTCTCAACCTAATAATGAAGCACAAAGGGAAGAGTCAACAACATTTCCACTAATGTTCAATTTCATGACCTCCTACATAGGAGAGGTCACTGCATGTCATCTGAGCACAAAGTGTTTGGCGATGCAAAATCATCTTAATTGCATCAAATATTACTATTCTCTACCATATCCTTCTCAATACATAAAATAAATTAAACACAAAACAAATTTTCATATAATAAAATTAATAAACTTACAATTTCATTATACATAGGAATCCTAATAAATAGTATTGAAAGACAAACAAAATTTCTAATTCCCAATTCTTAAACAACAATACTGTATAATTAAAAATTTAGAATTTCTAAACAACAATACGGTATAATTAGAAATTTAGAATTTCTAAACAACAATACAACAATTAACTCGATTTATTTTATATATACTAACTAATACTCCATATTATTTATATACATATGCTTATGGCTTATGATTTATGGCCTGAGATGGGTCTTGGATAGGTGCCCAGCTTGTCCACCTCTCTGGACCGGCCCTGCATAGAGAAGAGGGGAAATTATGCCCTGGACCCGTGTCCACAATGCATTGTGGACACGAGTCCAAAACGACGTCATTTTTAAGAAAAACGTGTCATTCCAATTAAAAAAAAATTGATTTTGTCTCGCCGTTAACGACGTTATTTGTTTGTGCCATTATGAATGTACAGTTATGAGATTATGAATGTACAGTTATGACATTATGGATGTAGTTATGACATTATGAATGTAAGTTATAAAATTATAAATACAGAATTCTGACACTATTAACTTACAATTGTGAACATATAGTGATAAAATTATGAACATAGAGCTCTAAAATTGTGAACATGGAGCTTCGAAAAATTATGATTTTACAGTTATTGAATTATGAATGTACAGTTATTGAATTATGAATGTACAGTTATGCAATTATGAATGTACAGTTATGCAATTATGAATATACAGTTATGGAATTATGAACACAAAGTTCTGACATTATGAACTTACAATATGAACATATAGTGATAAAATTATGAACATAGAGCTCTAAAATTGTGAACATAGAGCTTCGAAAATTATGAAGTTACAGTTATTGAATTATGAATGTACAGTTACGGAATTATGAATGTACAGTTATGGAAGTATGAATGTACAGTTATTGAATTATGAACATAGAGCTCTGACATTATGAACTTACAATTATGAATATATAGTAATAAAATTATGATCATATACTTCTATAACGAATTTGAAAAAAAAAAAAAGATAACAGTGCCTAACGGTACTATTACCGTGTCCAGCATGCATGCTGGACACGAGTTCAGAGCATAACGATTGAGAGAAGAGAATAGAAAATACAACTAAGATTACTAGAATCCTAACAAAGACAAATAACGAACTTCATGAACACATGAAAAGTATTTAAGTAATTTAATATTATTCTTAAGAATTATTTGTATTTTTAATCCCAATAATTGTTAGTTTATTTTTTCATTTAATTTCTAAATATTATTTTAAAAATATTTATTATACAATTTTAAAATTTAAAGGATGTCTTTTTATTCAGGATCTACAATGCTATGTGGATCATGATCCATGATATAAATTGCCAAATTTTTAACAATAAATGATGTTTAGTATTATTTTAATTGTTTTATATCTTAAAATATAAAGTTTAATTGAACAAAATTTTTATTTGTATAAATTAAAATAATTAATGAAAAAAATGCTCTGAAAGGACTATATAAGTAGACAAAATATAATTTTTGTGTAAGAAAATTATTACGAGTTCAATTTTTACAAACACTCTTTCAATTGAACATCGTATATAATGAAAATTATTACAAAAATTAGGTAATTACCACAGGTTTTCTCATCACAGAAAAAGAAAAAAGAAAAAAAAAAAGAGAGAATATGATAGGAAGTTTCCCCTTCAAGCAGGTTAATCTTGGGCAAGGGCATTTCTGGAATTTATCGAAAAAGGGTTACAGGGAGGAGAAGAAGGAGAAGGCAATGGAGAAAGCTTTCCTATTTTCGTCTGGGTTTCTCTTTCTAACCGATCTCAACTGCTTCACCAAAAACCCCCGTTTTCATTTCCAGTGATTTTCACCCAGACCACGCAAAGCGAAACGAACAAATACAAGGAAAGAAGAAACATGAAAAAGACTATAGCAGTATGGGGAGTTGCAATTCTGTGCTTCGTAATACTCATGATTGTCACTCCAGCCATCCCTCAGTCTCAAGAATATCATGAATTCGCTGATCACCGCGAATTCTTCGGTAAAAATTTGAATCTGTTGTTCTCTGTGATCGTATATGCTGGATGTTTTTGTATCGGCTGCCGTTTGTCTTCGTTTTGATATTGGAATCATGGGTTTTCGTTTAATTTTTGGTTGATTTACTCTCACCTCTGCGTCGTCCGATTGAATTAGTCGATTTTAGGGTTTTTTTTTTCATGCGGAGTTCTTTTTGGCTGATAAATCCCATATTATGGCCCTAATTGGCTAAGGAAACTAGGAGACAAACCAATATAGGTTGTTCATAACTGATCGGCTCAAACCAGAACTTATAATATTGTGGTTACTGAGTTAATAGTCTGACTAACTTGGCTGATAGTTTTTTGACTGGGTGGAGAGGGGTTATAATTGATGAATTGGGGGTTTCCAATTTAGGGTTTAGAAGCTGGAGAGGTGTTTTTCAGCTGGGATCTTTATTTTCATTCATTATGTTTCCTTGTTTATTGTTCTTTGCAGGGATACCCAATGCACTGAATGTGATTTCGAATTTCCCCTTCTTTGTAATTGGACTAATTGGGCTTGTACTCTGCTATCATATGAATTATTTCAAGCTGAGGTGAACATGTTTTATTGATATTCTACTGCTGTGATAGCTGATGTGTTATACTGATACCAACTGATCTTTCTTGCTAAAAGTTTGCAAGGAGAGCTTTGGGGTTGGACGTGCTTTTACATAGGCGTTGCAGCTGTTGCTTTTGGGTCGGCTTACTACCATCTCGAGCCAAATGATGCTCGCCTTGTGTGGGATCGATTGCCAGTGAGTTGTTTGTGCAATGAAGCTATAACTATTATGGAGTAGTTAGTTAATTATTTTCTTTGACGTTTGGTGTGTGATTTTTCAGATGACTGTTGCGTTCACTTCTATCATTGCTATCTTTATTATTGAGAGAGTAGATGAGAGAAAGGGGACACTGTCTATTATCCCGTTGCTTTTGGCGGGTGTGGTTAGTATTCTATATTGGAGGTAAGCTTCTATATATTTGAAGTTACTGTTCATATTCTTATATTGATGCTTGCATATTCTTTCTTGATGTT